AACACGGGCGTTACATATATACTCTGTGATGATACTACAAAAAAAATGAAGTCACCCAAGCCCCCGGACGTTTCCGCCGTCTGGTTCGGGGGTGTGACAAAAGGGGCTAAGCTATATAAAGTTAGCAACTTTATGCCATTGGGGACCTAGAAAGGTCCAGATCTAGAACCACATCCTTGTGATAAGTCCAGATCCGAGTTTGACTCCATTTTGCACCAAAAATGGTCATTTACTTCCAAGAACAGGGATCTCATCAACTAAGAATCAAGGTGACGAATTTATACCTCAAGATGATGGCCAATACAGAGTAGATGTCGGATCTACTGCTTCTCTCCTTGTTCCTTCTTCTTCAAGCTCTAGAGTCCTTCAGAAATACCCCAAAATTGCTAACAAAAGCTCTTACTCTCATTCAAGAAGGTACAAGGTCGAATTAGGGTTTTCTCTGGCTAATAGGGTGATAAGGGAGGCCACAAGAGGCGAATTATGCTCTTTAAATAAGGTGCAAACCCTAAAATTTAGGGTTTCTCTTTACAGCTCCTACTCGTCGAGTCAGGGCCTTCTGACTCATCGAGTAGCATCCAAATCCCACGTCCCGTAATAGTCTCTACTCGACGAGTTAGAGCACCCCAACTCGCCGAGTCCATGCACAAAACCCTAAAATATTAGATAAATTGAATAATACCTGGAACAGGTGTTACAAGTCTCCCCCACTTGAACTAGACTTCGTCCATGAAGTCTGCTGGCCCAAACAAATCCGGGTAGTGGTCTCGCTTCTCATCCTCCGGTTCCCAATTCCACTCGGAGCCCCTGCGGTGCTGCCATTGCACATTCACCAGCTTCACTTCCTTGCTCCGAAGAACCTTGGTGTTCCTATCGAAGATTGCAACAGGCCTCTCAATGTAGTTCAGGCTCTCATCCACCTGAATGTCATCCAGAGAAACGACTGTGGCCTCGTCGGTGATTTACTTCCGAAGTTGTGACACATGAAAGGTGTTGTGAATCTGGCTAAGCTCATCTGGCAGATCCAAGCGATAGGCTACCTTGCCCACCCGGGCCGTGATCCTGAACGGTCCTATATATCGGGGCCCTAGGTTGCCCCTCAGCTTTTGACTAAGTGTTATTGTGATAATGATAGCCATGGAGTAGTTGGAGCAGCCGTCAGAGATTCCTCATGCGAGATTTCACAGCTAACTTACGAGGTGAGTTTCCTTCAGTAGGAACGGGTCGAGAGCACCAATGCTGGCCCACGTAGAGTAGCTAAGTGTGGGCTGGGCACGTATCTTAAAATTGTTATGATTAGTAGCTAAGTGTGGGCTAGGCCCGTATCTTAGAATTGTTATGATTAGTAGCTAAGTGTGGGCTGGGCCCGTATCTTAGAATTGTTATGATAGTAGCTAAGTGTGGGTTGGGCCCGTATCTTATAATTGTTTATGATTAGTAGCTAAGTGTGGGCAGGGCCCGTATCTTAGTATTATCTGAGTATGTTTATGAATTGGTAGATTATGGTATACTTGTTGTCTGTGTTATACTTATATGTATGTTTAGGTAGCGGGGTGTGGGCGGGGGCCCGTATCCTCTAGATAGTAGAGTGTGGGCGAGGCTCGTATCTCCTAGTTAGCAGAGTGTGGGCGAGGCCCGTATCTCTGAGATAGCTGAGTGTGGGCGAGGCCCGTAACTCATAGCTAGCCGAGTGTGGGCGAGGCCCGTATCTCCTAGTTGTATGTTATATGTTATGTGTATGGTATGTGGTAGTTTGGGGAGACTCACTAAGCTTCGTGCTTTCAGTTTTCAGTTTTGGTTTCAGGTACTTCCGGTAGCAAAGGGAAGAGCTTGGGATGACTGCATTGCACACACCACAACGCTTTAGACTGGGAGGATTTACTCTGATGTTTTGATATATGATTTGGATACAGTGTTTTGATATGATGTTTTGAGATAATACCACTTATGTTTTTATGTGATGATTGGATTACTATGATTTTATAATGATTTAAAATGAAATTTTTGGACCGTATTTTTGGGATGTTTCATGTAGTCATGTAGGATAGCCTGAGATCTCTTGATCTAGGCTTTGTTGCCTATTCCTTGTTTGGTTGTTGCTCTAGAGTAGATCACGTGTTCGACTATCTATTCTTCCTTTGAGTATATAGAACTATGCATTCATTTAGTGATCTGCCAGTTGTGGTGTAGTGTGCTGTATGAGACCTTGTATGTTGTAATGAGTTGTTAGATTGTTAGATTGTATGTTGTAAACAGATGCATGTGTTGTTGGATTGTCTAATTGTCTGTTTGTTATATATGTCGACATATTAAGGTGTGGGTTGAAGCGATCATGCTTTGTATGGTAGACCAAGATACCCGGTCGGGCCAGCGATGTGCTGAAGGCTAGGTGCGGACGAGCTGTATGCTGAAGGCGAGTGCGGCGAACCAGTCTTGGACTGATGGCCATTGTGTGTATGCTTGTATGTGTATTGTGGTGTGTGATATTTTGGGGAAACTCACTAAGCTTTGACTTATATTTGTGGATTAAATGTTTTCAAGTACTTCCGATAATTGTGGGAAGGCGAAGGTGTGACTGTGTACACAGTTATCATCAACATTGCTATTACATATTTATTATGATACTCTCATTTTCGTATAATCTTGATTTGAACAAATGAGATTTCTTGACTTTGAGTTTTTATGAAAATGATGTTTTATCTTCACCAAAAATAAAAAATTTTGTTGTGAAAAAATGGGACGTTATATACGCTCATACAATTTCTAATTGATTTTATTCTAAAATTGTAATAGATTTTTTTACGGAACAATATTATTAAAACCAAAAGATGAGTAAGCCAGAAGTTCCACTCATATTACAAAAAAAGTTAGAAATGGGTGTATTAGATAGTATTATTTATTTGGATAGTTAGGATAGTTTCCGCTTGTTATATTTCCCTTATTAAGTCATAGTAATTAGTATTCTCTCTTGTACTCCATAAATACCTTTTTTGAGTACAAGAGAATGCATGGCTTGAGTTACAATATCTATCATATGTAATCAAGTCAAACACATCAGTTAATTATAATTTGTTGTATAATTACATGATACGTACGCACGAGGAACAAAAAACATAACAATAAACATGAAAACTCACACTTTTCTCCTAGCTTACAAATGTGGTAGGTGTTATTTATTTAAGAGAAAGAGAGGCTACAATATGGAAAAACTGAAGGTTTTCCAGAATCTCCTCGGCTTTGTTTGTAGCTCGGTTAGCCACCCGCAAAAAGAGCTCGTCCCCAAGCTTATCTCCGATGTGAGCGTCCACCAGAACCCCACTGACACTCCTGCAGCTGTTGGCTAGAGCCCTACCCACCTCCGCCGCATCATCTGGCCGGTTGACCACCAACGGGCTCCCTCCTTGGAATACCTCCAGCTTCTTTATGCTAAACGACCCGTTCGCTTCCACCACCTCCTTGAAGTCTTGTAAGCTTGGGGCATACACCGGAATGTTGAAATCATCTCGCTTCTCACTCGTTATTAGTCCCTGCAAGCATCGTCATACCATATCCGTTATATATATATATATATATATATATATATATATATATATATATATATATTCTTGTTCTCCTGTTTGTTAAAAGCCTTAAATTATCGCGCGAATGAAAGAAATAGAAGAAATAGAGTAGTACGAGAGAGGAGTAGTAGTAGTAGTAGTTTTGGTTGGTTGGGTGGGGGAGAAATGAATGATAGAGTACGGTAGCACTTATATGAAGTGGAAATTATGAATGATACGATATGAGTACCTCTTGGACAAGATCATTCCATGCATCCTGAAAATGGGTCCCGAAAAGTAACCCTGCCCCACCCTGGTCAGTGGGATCCTCTGACGTCCGACCCAGTAGAGCAATAAACATTGACCCACCCTTTTTCATTTCTTTGGATCTCATCTTTAGAAATCCTGCAAGATCCGTCTGGAATTGTCTCCGATATGCATTTGCAGTGCTTTTATTTGCACCGTGAATGAATATCTTTCCTTTGTTGTATGTCGTCGATGATTTCTCCAGTACAATTTCTGGCACCTGTAAAATTATATATATAAATGAACAACCATGGTTAAATTAAAAATATAACTAACAAAAGGGTGCTGGTTAAGTTATGGTAGTTCACTATATATTAACGAACCTGAGAGAGCCAATGCAAGGAAAACGCCGAGTAGAAAACATCAATTGAATTTGCGGGAAACAACCGGCGGTAGAAGGAGCCAGGGACACCGGCAGCAAAGAAAGAGCGGTGGCCCGTGGAGGCAAGACACTCTTCCATGCTACCGACATCCTGGTTGGCCAGCGGCGGGAGGAGCTGGAAGAGAGTGTTGAAGTCATTGGAAGGAAGGTCGGCGAAGAAAGCAGAGAACTCGGGTAGATCTGAGTGTCCGGATGCCTCGTAACGCTTGATGATATGTTGTATGATGACGTTGACGATGAATATGGTGTTGCTTCCGCTGGAGCAACCAAGATCCGCCACCACAAAAGGTATTTCCGGCGAGTTCAGGTGAACACCGTCGAGTGTTTCCTTCAAAAGGTGTAGCATTGAGCGAGCATGTTTTGCCTGCATGCATGCACCATGACACGTCAATTCATCAATTGAAATTGTTTCTAATTTCAGTTAAAATTAAAAAAACGAAGGCGATGAGATCAAATAAATTGAGACCGATGCTCATTTGTTTTGCATTTGGAGGAATATTTATGATCGATCTTGTAAATGAAAGAAGAGGGAAAGTCGTGATCCAGATTTAGAAGCTAGTTAGAACGAGTATGGAATATATAAAATAAATTAAAGCGGAAATCAAGAAAGAAAGGAAACCTGGGCTTGAGAGTTGTTGGCATAACTGGTTTCGCCTTTGCCTCCTTTCATGCTAAGAAGCCTTTCAAGCTTAATGTTTGATGAAACCACCACATTGTTTTCACCCGAGGGAGGACCCATTTCTTTCTTCTTCTTCTTCTTCAACTACTGATCTCTTTACCTTCTCAAAATAACCACAACCACCTCCATATATATGTATATGTATGTGTATATATACACAGGAAAAGGGTACTTACGGAATTTACTTACTTTCATCACTATGCTCCTAAAAAATTGATTTGGTAAAAAGTACTGTGTTATTGACCACGACCACAACCATAACTTCTTAACCATACGTTAACTTAAATTAGATTTCCAACTTTTAAGTTTGAATACAATATAGATCTTATAATTTTTAGAAAACTAATTACAAGAAATCAAAATATATATTTTATTTTGTTTTTATATAATTTACTTAGTAATGAATATAATATGATATTTTAAAACTATTTACAGAGAAGTATAAAAATTTGATTTAAAAGTTTGATGTAATAAAAAATAAAAAACGCTTTCTTAAATTTCATTTATCCCCTTAAAAGAGAAAATAAAGATATTGATTGACATTATGCCTTCTTATATAAGTATCAAGAAATTGAGGAATTCCATCAAGTACATACAATTTTATGGACAATACAAAAGCCTTTGGATTTTATCAAAGTTCTAAATAATGTTAGGCGTAACTTAGCGGTAATGGCAAGCTTCAAGTTTGTACAAGCCGTTACAAGTCACGTCGTTAATAAGACGTGACTTAAGGCGGTAATTTTGTGGATACTATATATATATATATATATATATATATATATATATATATATATATATATATATATATATTCTACTATTATTATTTTTATATATATATATGACTTAAGACGACATTTTGTTAAATTTGACGTCAAATACAAGCTTTGGAGTCATGGCGAAGCCATGGTGGGCTTTTTAAAACCTTGGATTTTATGCACATATTCGAAAAAACATATTAATTTTTTATGTAAAAATCATAATTATTCAGCAGTTGAGTTGTTAAAAATTTCTTTTTTTGCGAGTTGTAGCATTCTTATTTGTCTCTTATTTCTGACATGTTAAATTTTAACGTCTAAAATGACAATGTAGCCATTATTTTCCCCATCAAAGTCAATATCAACACATTAGAAGCAAATAAACTTTCCATTCCTAAATGATCGATTCAATTTTTCATCTCGAGGATTTCGTCTTCATTAATGTCAAACTTTAAAATTTCGTAACCGGTAAATCATAATGCTTAATGCACAATGCTAAAGTGCATAGTGTCGTGGTGGTGCTGAGACAATATGTTGGACTCACGGACTATCAATAGCCCACATAGGAGATTTATAGGTTGTCTAATTTTTTAGGTAAAATATTACAAGTTCATTTGTAAGTGAAGGTTGTCTTTTATCTGATCTATTACGTTATCTACATGAATTAGTCAAATATTGATATGATTTCAAGTTGATCAACATATCAATACCAAATCAATGTTACAAAGATATTCTTCATAAAATACACATATAAAGTTGAAGGAAAACAAGTTTATGTTGGTGTTGTTAATTAGAGTTATTCCAGTGATGTTATAATGAGTTTAATGTTGATTGATGTGGTTGTTTTGTTGTTTATAAAGATATTTGTATTGGACTTGCCATGAAGTATATATCAATGAAATAACATTTTTATATTTTGTGTTATATGACTGAAAAGTACATTCCATATATATGTACAACATCATAGACCATGTCCTTCATTGTAGAATAGACCAGCATTAAAATGTATCAAATATACATGCACCATATGACATAAGCATGGACCATATAACAGTAGTATATGACAACAATGCTACATAGATCAAACATATGGGTCATATGTATTCTATCTATATGGACCACTATGCATATGCGAGCAACACATACTTTATCCATGGACCATCAAATACATTTAACAACTTACATATCAACATGGACCACTTAATCATTCTAGTTTCATTTCAAATTGATCATAAATTGTAAACAATATGTGGGTGTGTATTCCAAATATGGGTAACAAAATGATTACGAAAAGACCGACCAAATTTATTATCAAAATTTGTCCCTATTATACTCTTACCACAATATACCCATGTCATACTACTAACTAATCTAACTTTAGTGCATTATCAAAGCTTGTATCACCCCTTACTTTTCATTAACAACTTTATTTAACTTTTATTCTTAAAGTTGCTTAGGTGTCTTCAATACCAAGTTCTTCACTATAAGCAACCCTATATCTTTAACTATCTACAATACCATGTCCTTGACTTTCTCCAGTACTAACGACTATTTATTGTGTCTAAGCTACAACATCTTTAGTAACATTAATAACATAAGCATCTTCATTCTCCTTATGGTATTGTAAGACATAAGAGTTTCAATGTTAACTCATACTATTATAAATTTAATTAGAACTACAAACAAATGAAACTTCAATACTTCAGTTGCATACCATTTACATGCCATTTTCAACATGTTTTTCTACTTGATGTACTATTTCTACATGTTGAAAAGGTGTACTAATTCATGTGGTTCGTAACCAAATTATTAATGAACTCTTGGATGCATTTGAACATCAACTGCCTCAACTTGAAGATTTCTCAATCAGTTTATTTAGCAAAATTTATTTCATAAACTATGTCAACTTTTCAAATATTTCCTATAGCAATAACTGCATCAACTTTCACATATTTATTAGTAGAAACTACAATTTTTGACTTCTACTTCTTTAACTAACACTTCTTATTAAATTATTCCATAAATTTATTTATTAGTAGAAACTACCATTTTTACCTTCTACTTCTTTAACTAACACTTCTTATTAAATTATTCCATAAATTTAGCATGTGATGAAATATTTCACACAACCTTATGAACATATTATGGAGCATATTTTGAATTTTAGGCAATGAATTTGTGCCATTTTGTTGGATCACGATGCAAATTTCGAACATATAAAAATACAAGCAACATACGCAAACAATCATAAGCATCATCATTGAACTCCGGATGTAGTATTCATCAATTAATATTAACTAACTTAGTACTACATTAAGGTAAACAAGATTACCTTTATATGATGTCATGAAGTTTTTCTTCTTTCTTTGTGTAACATCCCGAAATTTAAGACCAAAAATTTCATTTTTATAATAACAAAATCATCATCCAAAACGTGTTCATAAAACCATAAAAGAAAATAAAAGTATATCAATCAATCATCTTAATACATCAGAGTCGGATAAATGGAAGTCGTGGTGTATGCGATGAGATCATCCCGAGCTCTTCCCATTCGATATGGAAGTATCTGAAACATAAACTGAAAACCGTTAGCACGAAGCTTAGTGAGTTCCCCAGAATACATCATACCATATATATCAAACATACAATAGGCCATGCCCAACAACCATCGGGCCCCGCCCGACATCGAGCCCCGCTCGGAACAAATCTATCAGTAACATGAGATGAGCCCCGCCCCACATTCATCAGGCCCTGCCCGACATTCATCCAAATACATAAAATACATGCAAGAATCACTATGATAAATAACATACAATACACTCAGCAGGCCCCACTTGGCATCGGACCCCGCCCAGTATACATATCACATACTGCTCATGCAAGAGTCACACAGACAACTAGCATCCTAATAATTATAAATCATGGGTCGGCATTGGTGCCTTCAACCCTCCAAGCATAGTGAGGAGACTCACCTCAAACCATTGAAAAAAAGATATATGCTCGAACTGCTGATTCGAGAAATTCATGCGCTAAACAATCAAACAATACACAAATTAATAATTAGGTCAAAATTCATAACCGGGGTCACCGACCCAACACCTTCAACCTCTAGGGGAAATGACTATTCTACTTTTTCACTTATTGGGCCCAACTAGCTTGTTCTAATAACCCTGTTGTGGTCCAAGGCCCAATAATGGCCCAACCTATAAAACTAAGGTCCAACTATGACCCAACAGATACAAAGCCCAAAATCCAGCGAAGGCCCAAAGTCAAAAAGGAGTCCAAGTCCAAGAGAAGACCCAAAACGAAAAAAGCCCAAATACAGCGTACGTCCTGCGTACTCTTCATATGTGCGTTAACCCAAACGTATGGCCTGCTGACCCAATAATTGCAGTGTACTACGGAGTACGCCCGACATACTGGCCAGAGTCCCAAAATCCAACTTAGGGTCTTATTCCCTTAAGACCTTTTCGTCCAAACTTCAGATCTAAGCCTTGTGGAACGTCTTAATCCATAAAGTCATGAACTTTGAGCCTTTGCATGTCTCAAAAGAATCCAAACCTTACTTTTAGCATTCTATTATCACCAAATGGACCTAAACACTTGTATGGTTGATCCACAACCATCAAGATGCTAACTTTATGGACTCCGGACCTCGAAAACGTCAAGAGAAGAAACTCTTAAGTTCTAGAGTGGAAGAAACCTACTAGATCTCATCATAGGACCAAAAAGGGACCAAAACTTCATAAAGACTAGATCTAAGCATACAGGGAGCAAGTTCCAAGCTTTATACCTTAATGAAGATGGAACTGATGTGTGAAATCTGGATCTACATGTTCTCTTTTGATCAATGCTCCTTCTTCTAAGATCTTCCTCCTAAAATCTCACCAACACACACTGAAAACACACACAAGAGGGTCAAATCTCCTCAAGAGGGGTCAGGGTTTCGAAATGGGGCTCAAAGGGCAGTGGAGGCTGAGAAATGAGAGGATCATGGGTCATAATGTTGTTTAAATAGGGTCCAAACCCTAAAATTTAGGGTTTATGCCCTCGTTGAATACGCCCTACATATGATAAGTACGCCCAATGTACTCCCAGATTTCCAAGAATGGCAAAACTGCCACCCAAGGACTAAATCTGCAAAATATTTACACACCAAGGGTCAAAAATGAAAAGTACCTTTAATCGGGTGTTACAATCCCCCCCACTTGAATCATAGTTCGTCCTCGAAGTCCGCTCTTGTAAATAACTCTGGGTAATGTTCCCTCATCTCGTCCTCAGGCTCCTACGTCCATTCAGACCCCTTTTGGTGCTGCCACTGCACCTTCACCGACTCCACAACCTTGTTCCTCAAGGTTTTT